CGGGGGCTTTGCCCCCTCGGCAGCCACACCCTCAGCGCCCCGCTCACTCCTGGCTCGGGGCTCCAGGACACTGGCACCCCACTCGGGGTTGGGCCAGCCCGACCCTGAGCGGCTTGGGGGTGCTTCTGGTGCCGGTGCCTCATCACAGGAGGGTTCGAGTCTCACACCTCGACAGGCACACAGAGACAAAGGGCGACCTGGGCCCACGTGTGGGACTCACCCCTGCTGACCCGAGGAAGCCGGGCGCTCACCTCGGGCGAGTGCAGGGCAGGAGGCCAAGAGGGTAGGGCTGCGAGCACACCTCCCTCCTCCGCTCCCCTGCCCAGGTCACAGAGCGTGGACCACGAGGGTGACCGCCGTGAGCAGATGCGAGCAGATCCCAGAATGACGCCCCTTTCTTGGGCAGAGTGAAGACTCCCGAAGGGGGTGATTTCCCAGGGAGCAGACGGCAGGGCTTTCTGGAGCCTCGGGGTGTGCGGGCGGCCCTGCGCCCGTAGGAGTGGGGTCTTCGCAGACGGTGCTAGGCATCACCAGCCGTTACCTCGTCTCACCAGAGCCTCCCGCGTAGACCCTGAGCGCGGCTTGTCGAGAGCCCCCCACTCCCTGTACAGGGCTGCCGTCTGAGGTGCAGAACCGGCCATTAGTCTGACGGAGAACGTCACCATGTCATCACCACGCGCTGGTGGTCACTCGCCGCCCGACCTCCGCCGGCCTGGCTCGGGGCTCACTCACCTTCCTTTTCCCTTCCTGTTTCGTTTTTTGACAGTCTGGCCATTTTGTGACCCTGCCGCCCAGCCCGGGGACCACAGACACACACCAGCACACCCGCCTCTGGTCAGGCAGGGTCCCCGTGGGGTCTCGGCCAGCAGGGGTTTCCGGTGGACACCGTCATGCCAGCCTTTAGGCTGCACCAGGAATCGAACCTGGACTTCCTCTGGGGACTTACACATGAAAAATATTTATAGACAAAAATGTGAAGTTGGGGACTAAAGGGCAACCCACAGATTAAGGAGCCTGTGAGTCGAAACCTAGGAATCATAACAGAGACCATTTACGTATTTTAAAATCTAAATTTTTGTGTGGCAAAAGGTACCATGAAGAAAGTGTGTGACAAATGCCAGGTTGGGGCAGACACGCTACACGGATGACATGACGCTTCATGTCGGTAACATACAAGCCGCTCGGCGAGCCGTGGAGACGGCAGGAAAGGACACGCGTAGATGTCTCAGGACGGAGCAGAGAGGCGGACCTGGCAAGGTATCAGGAAGGCAGTGGTGACAGTGACGTCGGGGTTAAAAGCAGAGCTGGGGCAGTTTGAACGAGTGTTGGCTGGGTCAGCATCTCCCTCTGGCGCGGTAACTGTTCCAGCTTATTCTTCCACACAAATATTGATACATGTTTTAAAGCTCCCTGGCGCGGTAACTGTTCCAGCTTATTCTTCCACACAAATATTGATACATGTTTTAAAGCTCCCCAGCACAAAGTGTAGTTGGAATAGCTTTTAATTTGCAAGCTAGCTGCTAAGAAAGCGACTTCGATGGTTGCCTTCTCGGCCCAGAACGAGCAGCCCTCCCACCGGCTCTCACCCGCTCTGGTACCTCGGACGGTGGTGTCACCCCAGCCCGTGGGTCCTGGAGGTCTCACCAAGGCCGCTGCCCAGAGCTGGCAGGACTCAGTGGCACTGCCTGGCCAGGGGCCGTGGCATTAGCCCCACCGTCGTGCCAGGCGTGTTCACCACGTGCGGGCCCATCAGGGCGAAACTTGGCCGCGAGGGGAGCGAGCGTCAGGGCTTCGTGAAGGCCGTCCCGGAAGAAAGGGAAGTTGCAGCCGAGTGGTGCCCGTTCGCGTCGCTGACTCAGAGCCCATAAAAACCCAGTCACGAGGAGCAGGTTTTCAACCTGCGGTGAAGACGCACGGGGCATTGACACGGCAACTTAAAAGTCACGTGGCACCGGTGTGGGGAGAAGGCGGCCATCAGTCTGTACGCAGGTAAACTGCCAGGGACCGGGGACAGCACTGGCACCCCGGGCGGCACGGAAAGCGAACAGGGCCTTTTCCTGAGGGTGGAATAGTTACATCGCTGGACTCCCCCGCCATCGACCACGGTTCAGTCCCAGACGCAGTGGCTTAAATCTTACACATGTGCGTGCATGCCGAAATCCGGAGGGGAGAACGGAGGAGAAGGGATTGGCGTGGCCACCCCCGGGGTTGATTTCCGGCTTTCTGTCTCCCTGTCTGTCTTTCCGGCCGTGTACGTGCCCTATAGCAAAAATCCCCCTCTTAAAAAAAAGATGCTCTCTTCTCACTATTCCCCAACTTCTTATAGCATCGCTTTTATTTTGACCACTTTAAAATACATAAGATATTATTTAAGTATCATTAATCGAGATTAAATGGGAAGGCAAATGATTTAATTTTAAAAAAAGAAAAAAGAAAACAAGCAGGGACCCGCCGATGGTGTAATGGCTACATCACTGGCTCCCCACATGGCTGGCCGCGGTTCGAGTTCTGGACCAGCAGCTTAAAACTCACACTGGGTAAGTGGGCATGCATGCCCAAAATCCAAAGAGGAGACGGGATTGTGGTGTGACCATCCCCCACCCCGGGGGGACGATTTCTCACTTTCTGTCTCTCCAGTGAGCACACGCACCCTATAAAATGTATCTTGGAAAAAAAGAATTTTGAAGGTTTTCTCTAAGAAGCGATGTGACTGACGGTGAACACACAGGGCAAGGACCCGTCGTGAGTGGCAAGCTCAGGAACAGGGCCCGGCCGCTCGGACCCGGGCTTCGGGCTTCGCTGTCAGCAGTAGGCTGCCCTTTGTTTGTGGACCGTTTTTCCTTCCGTAGGTAAACTCTGCCCCGGCCAGCTGGCCCAGATCGGGTTGCATCTGAAACCCTCCTTGAAGTGCAAAGACCAACGTCAACCCAATTAAGATGGCATTATCCCATATCCCCATGAACCCAACGGAGCAGAGCGAGATTTTCCCAGGCACCGTCACTTATCAAATGAGCGAGGTTTGGGGTTCCTTAACATAAAGCCAAAGGAACTGTGACAGTCTGTCCCCACCCACAGGCTTCGGACCCCCACGCGCAGCCCAGCGCTGAGCGAGCGCGTCCGCAGCAGGGCGGGGACTTCATCGACGCAAGGACCCTGTGAGCTTGGGTACAGTGCTGGGGACGGAGCGTCAGAGCTGCGTGTCAGGGCCCCGCCTTCACAGAGGCACAGTCCCCAGCCCGCTCACCGGCCACTGGGCACCTCGGCTGACTCCGAGCACGGCTGCACACGCCGCTCTCTGTGGGTCCCGGCCTTGGGTGAGCCCTGGGAGTCAGGCGCTGGCTCACGCGGGGTTCATTTTCGGATTTCGAGGCTCCTCTGCGTGCCACCGGGGGTGAGGTTCGAGGCACGCACGACAACTCCAGAACAAAGACTGGAAATGAGTACGCTCACGTCCGTGTGGGCTAGGAGCCTCCCCTCACCCGGCGTCTCCTAAGGGAGCTGCTTCCAGCGTGCCCACATCGGCGTGGTGCGCTCGGCCTTCAGGCCTGCAGCAGCTGGAGGCCAGCTCTCGCCTCTCCGCTGGCCGCGTTCCTGGTTTTCGTATTCTCTCCACCTGTGGTTGCTTTGCGGGGTCTCTTCAGCCACACTCCACCCTGTGGCGTTGGTTTAGAGCGAGCCGATCACGGAACAGGGCCAAGCATACGTGGCAGGTCCCGCGGCTGACATGGGCCAGCCAGGGTATCTGCCACCCTCCACATGGGGCTCCCTGCGCCATCCCGGGCACCCACGTACCGTCCAGAACAGGGACCAAGGAGCAAGCAGGGTCACCACGTCTCTCCTGTATTCAAGCCGGACGTGCTTTCTAGTTTCCGGAGCACACCGGCTGTTCCTGGCGGTCCTGCCTGTCCCCGCAGCGCTCAGCAGGCCCCGTGTCAGAGACCGGAGTGGGACTAGCACAGTGGGCACAGACTAGGATGGGCACCCTAAGGGGTCAGGCCCTGGCACCGCCGACGTGACCGTGTGCACACAGGACCTTCGTGGGCGTCGTCAGTTAAGGGCCCTGAGATGGAGCCAGCGTGGGTTTCAGGTGCACCCCAAATCAATGACTGGTACCCTCAGCAGGGAGGGTGGCGAGGGCAGAAGCTGCTAGGCAGCACCGGGGACGAGGTGGAGGACGCAGGGCCCGTGTAGCCCCTCTCTGGACCGCCAGGCAGTGACTCACTGCGCAGAGCTGGGGTGGGCATCGAGGCGTCAGCACTCCCCACTGCATAGCACGAAGCCACCTGGAGGGCGTGAGACCTGCAACCCTGGGCTGACCCCCACGAGACCCTGACTTGGCGACGGGGCAGGGCCTGGGTCCTAACCCTAACTGACCTCCAGGCCAGCGGCCCTGCTGGCTTGCTGAGCAATGCGCAGTCCGACGTCCTGCTGTCCCTGTGGAGGGCGAGCCCGAGAGCGTCCCTGGGCAGCCGGAGCGAGCGTCCACCCCTGCACCCCACACTCCTGGGGCCAGACCGAGGCTCGGAGCCCAAACCGGGGCGCCGCAGCCCT